AATCTCAGGTGAGAGAGAGGGCGTTGATGTTTACATATTCAAATATTGGTTTTCCGAAAGGCTTTGGTCCTGAGTTGAGTCGTGCATTTATCCTTTGGACCCGTCGTTGTTATCAGGGGCGGAATTTATTAATACTGGCCATGTCTAGGCCTTTTGTCCACTTAAATGGCCTGGTTGGTGGTGGTATGTCCAGAACTTACGACCTTAAAAGAGGAGTTAGGAAAGCTTCTTGGGAAGAGCAGAGGTAATAGCCATCATTCAACAAATACTTACTGAATCTTTCTCCTCAAGCACTCTTCTAGGCACAAGGGCTATAACCCTGAGCATAATAGAGGGATACTCCTACCTCCATGGAACATACAATCCAGTAGAGAGGCAGAAAATAAAGAAGACAAGTAAAACATATAACTTGTTTGGCTGTGATAAGTACAAAGAAAAATAAAATAAAGCAGGAAACAGGAGTAAGCAGAATCTACGGGGAGGTGGATTCTCCCCATAGGATTCTCCATCTCCAGAAGGATTTCCACCTTCTGGAGGTGGAAAGTTTAACTCATGTGGCCAGGGAAAGACTCACTGATAAGAAGGTGACTTTTTTAAAAGAATAGTGTATATATTTTAAAGTTGTTTTAAAATATTTTATTTATTAATTTTAGACAGAGGGGAAGGGAGGGAGAAAGAGAGAGAGAGAAACATTAATGCGTGGTTCCTCTGGCGCGCCCCCTACTGGGGACCTGACCTGGCCCACAACCCTGACTGGAAATCAAACCTGAGACCCTTTGGTTTGCAGGCCTGCGCTCAATCCACTGAGCTACACCAGATGGGCAAGAAGTGACTTTTAAATAAAGATCTGAAGGGAAGGAAGTGAGGGAGGGAGCCTCAGCAGGTCTAATGGCTCTGAGGTAAGAGTCTGCCTGGTGTGTTTAAGGGAGGGCACTCGAGTAGCAGGTGTGGAGGACTGGGAGAAAGCAGTAAGAAATAAGGTCAAGGAGCTCATAGGAAGCCAGATAATGCTGGAGTTTGGGGTGGTCATAAAGACACTGTCCTCTCTCTTAGTGAAATGGGGACCAATAAAGGGTTTGAGCAGAGGAGATTCTGAGCCCTGATTTGACCTCTGGCTTTTTTGGTGAGTAGACTGGGTACAAGGGCAGAAGCAGATAATCCAGCAAGGAGGCCAAAGCCATATCCAGGAAAGCAAGTCATAATGTGGATGAGGGTGGTGGCAGTGAAGGTGGTGAGAAAGGTCAGATTCTGGATATACTTTGAACACAGATCCAACAAGGTTTGCTGACAGAACAGACATGGGGAGAGGGGGGAAGGGAAATGTTGAAGATGACAGCAAGGTTTTGGCCTGAGTGATGGAAGAATGGAATTGCCCTTCGCCAGATGAGGAGGAGACTAGAGGAAGAGCTAGTTTGAAGGGACTGTCAGGGGCCTCAGTTTTGGATATTGAAGTTTGAAATGCCTGTTTAGACATCCAGGCAGCGATGTTGTTATGTCTGGAGTTCAGGGAAGGTGTCCTGGCTAAAGATATAAATGTATGATTCATCAGCATATAGAGGGTATTTAAAGACGTGGGACTCGATGAGATCACCCCGAGAGTGTGTGCAGAGAGAGAAGAGCCATGTAAGGACAGAGTTCTGGGGCCCCTTGGGCACCACCCCTGTTTATTGTAGAGCAGCTGTTAGTTTCTCTGAGAACACTTGTGTTCCACCAACACAGTCTGACATACGCTGATCTAAAAGGATATTATCCTTACAACTCCTTTTATTCAGAGCATATAGAATACAGTTTATTTCCTTTGGCCTTAAAAAATATGCTCCTAATTTTCCAAGATGGTACAGTGATCAGTAAAGGTACCTTAGTACTAGCAAAAGATTTTGTGGAAGGGTAAAATGGACTGGAATTTTCTGCATGTGTTGTGAGTCAGGTAGCTGCTTAGGGACTGGTCTAGACACAGAGGCTTTAAAACTTCGCTAATTTTCCTGGGCATTTGAAGTTCTTTTGGTTTGATTTTTTTAGTGCTACAGAGTTCATTTCTTTCATTAAAAATATTTAATACAGCTGACTTATGTGAAAAGTGGGTAGGTGTTCAGTATAAAGAGGGATACACTATTCTAACCTTCAAGAAACTCAGGGGAAAAACTTGAACATGGACAAAACTTCAACGTGTGATTCAGAAATGAATACTTCCGGAGTTCCCAAGAAAGTGGGCTGAGATGGCAGAAGGGCTTGAGCTGAGTTCTGAAGCACGTTTAGAAATGTAGAAATGAGACAGATTTTGGTAACGAATGTTGGATAAGTACATACAAAAGAAGTGGATACGATCAGATTACTTGCCTCTAGAGCAAAGAGTGCTGGTGAGAACAAGGTGTAAAACTCTATTACAGAGCTCTGTGTCCCATGTTGTGGGTAATGGGACCTCTCTGGCTGGGCTGAGGAAGCTTCCTCTAGCAGTGTTGTTTTGTTAGGTGTTTGGGCCACTTGGCCATACCCCCCACTGTCACAGAGAACACTACATCTTTGTAACTTCTTTAGGCCGTAATGATAGTGTTGGCAATTTGGTGTTTTTAGGCCCTTCCCATGGCTGTTCTTTTCATATCTTTACAATGTAAACATAATATATTTTAGTGTTAATTTCTTGGAGGATTAATGGTATAAACTTTGGAAAAGTCGCTTACTGCTTAGAAGTAGCAATGTTTCTAACGTCTAAAATATATATATCTCGCCTTTGCTTTTTTATTTCAGGTTTCCACTAAATTATTAGCCCCAACTTCCTTATATGTGTGTTTTGGGTTTTTTGTTGTTGTTTTGTTTTTGCCTTACAATTTTCTTCTCATACAAAGTACTAAATTAAGGAAAAAATCCTGTAAAAATGCTACTGAGGGTGATGGAGTTTTAGAGATCAGTTTTTATTACATTTATTTTCCCTAATTAGGAACTCTTTAAATGGAAATGGAAAAGAAAGTATTACTATAACTTTTTTATTAATGAGAAAAATTGGGCGATTCCTGCCACTTCCCATCTCAGTGATAATCCATGGCACAAAATACTAAGTGCACTGGGAACTTTTGACTTGAGCGGAGAGACATTCGTATTGATAATATATTTAAAAAAATTACTTAAATAACAATAAAAAAAAGAATATATCAGAAGTCTGCCTTTCATGTGGTCCTGCAAAATTCTTATGTCTAGCCTTCTGTGATTGTTGAAAAGTTTTCCTTGACCTGTAGGAGGCATTTCCCACTCACTGAAAGATGCTTAAACAACCCTATTCTAAGTGGGAGTTGGGAAGAGATGTGAGGAATAATCCCACCAGATAAGCTTTAAAGTGACTGTGTTAAGCACCCTTCACTCTCCAAGAAAACCACTTCCCGTCTCTGCCTCCGAGCTCAAACTGGCATGTACCTCCCCATCCTCCCCACCATCAGCTCACTCGTATTTCACTGCAAAAATGTGAGTCTTCAGAAGCCCCCATCTTCACGCCACCAAACATCCCATCTATACCGGTCTAGTCTGCTTTCCCCGGTTCAGACTGATAAACTGTCCATCTGAAGACAACCCTTGTACTTGTGGTGTGTGGATAGGCTCATCTCAGTGATTCGTGGTTGCCTGAGCAGGTCGTGAAGTTGTCTGCTATCTCCGATGGGGCAATAACCTGCCTCTACTAGATCATTCTCATTAACATTCCAAAGTGCTATCGTATTTCCCATTAAAAAAAAATCTGTCGTGTGCTTTCTTCCACCTACCCTCCTATTTTCTGGCTTTTCTTGGTAGCAATTCTTTTCAAAATAGTCATCTGTATTCCATGTCTCCATTTCTTCACCTCTCATTCTCTACTGCGCTCCCTGATGCCCATGGTAACAGCTCTTGGCAAGATCACCCAGCACCTCCGTCTCGCCACATTCACTGGCCCATTATTCTTTTCCCCATTGGTCCATTCCTAGTTATGATTTATTTGAGCTTTTAGCTGCCTTTGATTAGCTGATATGCTTTCCTTATTAAGCCCTTCCTTCACCTGACTGTTAAGTCCTGATTTTCCTCCTGCTTCACTGGCTGTTCTTTCACAGTGTCCTCTGTTCATAGCTCCTCCCGTGCCTATAAAAGCTACAGTGGTCCAGGGTTTAGCCTTCTCTAGCTACATTCATACCTAAGCTCGTGTGATTCTGTTCTATGGTTGTAAGTATTATTGACATGGTAATATCTCTGAAATGTATGCTTTTCTACTATTCCACCTTTCCACTTGGACTTTTCATAGGCCAGTCCCTCCTAAAACATCCAGGGCTCCTTACTGTGGCCTTCAAGTTCCTCGCCATCTAGTCCCTCCCCCCGTTTTCACTGTGGCCCCTACAGCTTCATTTGCTGCTATCTTCCCTGAATTGTTCCTTCAGTTGCCATCACACTTGCCTTACTATTTCTTCTAACTGCCAAACTCTTTCCCATCTCAGAGGCTTTGCACTCACTGTTCTCTTTGTCTGGAATGTTTCATGTCCAGATCTTTGCATGGCTCGTCTCCTTACTCCAATGTCAAACATGTCTTTTCAGAGGCCTTTCCCAACCATCCTACATAAGGTACCCTCTTACTGGTTTTATTTATTTTTTTCTTAGCACTTATCTCTATTTCAAATCATATTTTATTTCTCCCTTGATGAAATATGAGCCCAAGGAAGACATGTAATTAGCTGATCCCTCTTTCCCTAGGTCTTAGGTCAGTGCCTGGCTCCTACTTGACGCACAACACATGTTTATTAAGTGAGTGAACCAATAAGTGAATCATTTTATATGTAAACATTGTTTTATATGTAAACCATGCTCCTGTATCCTCAGTATTCTTTAATCCAAAGTACAGAGAAATGTTTAATAGAGTAGTGAAACACAATAGAAAAATGGCTACAGCTAGATCCGATCACATGTGGACTCATATAAAGGAATTCCTTTGAGTGACATTTCTTCTCTTCCCTTCTCCGGAAGTAAGTTATGCTTTCTTGGCTCTTCCCGTGCAGCTGAAGAATAAGTTCATGAAAAAACTGCCTCGTGATGCAGAAGCCTCCAACGTGCTTGTTGGTGAGGTCGACTTCTTGGATACGCCTTTCATTGCCTTCGTTCGACTCCAGCAGGCTGTCATGCTGGGAGCCCTGACCGAGGTCCCCGTGCCCACAAGGTAAGCCGATCCTGACCCACCAGGGCCTACAGTGTGGGCACAGGGGAGTCTCCTCTCCCTCCGGCTAGAGAATCAATGGAATGAGCACACATCAGAGTGAGCGCATTGGGAAGGTATGATTTGAAGGTACGGTTTAATCTGACTTTTGTGCTGTCACATTAGTAATTACTTACGTAGTAGTAACCATAATGACAATTCAGACAATATCTTAGACCATGTAGTAATTTTTTCTTATGGATTACTTTGTTCAAGCCTCACAATAATATTTTTTAAGTATAAATAGTTGGTATATGAATTTTATAGATGAAGAAACTGAGTCTTAGAGTTTAAGTAACTTGCCCTAGCTCATACAGATGGTTATTGGTTCAGAGGTCAGAATTGCTTTTAGTTACTCCATTCTATTCAGAACATTGATAGTGTGTGTATGTACATGTGTGTACATACACACACAAACATTATAAAGTTGTACTCTTAAAGTTGCACACTTTGCTGTTATGTTTATGTTGCATAACTTTTTATTTTAAAGGAAACATGTTACTGTTATTGTAACCATGTATTCCATATACTGCACAGTATCTCTGAGCTAATCCTGTTTTTCTCCCTCTGCAACTGTGCTCAGCAGAGTTAGGAGGCTTGACTTACGGAATGCAGAATGTGATGAGAAGTTAGTGCTTCACTTAAACTTGTGCTGAAGAAGAGTTTGAAGAGACGTTTGTAATCTTCAGATTGATGTCTGAAAATTACCACATGAATAGGAACTTTGGGGGAGTTTGTGTGCTTTTTGTGGGTCCCAGAGCGAGGACAGGTGACTTTTCTCTTCTTTAGGCTCCTGATCCCCCAGGTGAGCAGGAAGGGCTATGAATCCTCCTGGGCGATCTCAGATGGCCTGGGCACGGTTCACTGACCGTGACAAGGGGCTTAGAACAAACGAGGTTTGTTCTGAGCCAAATTAAAAGGAAAATTAGGAGAACATTTCTTTCATTGCCTCCCAATTTATAGATTACAGGACATTCATTCTGATCATACAGGTATTTTTGCCTCATTTTTCTATTTCTTCAAACGGGCATAATATGTGTCATTATTAGGCAGTCATTGGGCAAGAGCAGAGGAAAGGAGATGATCATTGCTGATTCAATCAAAGGGGTTATCATGATCTGTGCTTTCTGTAACTCAGCTTTTTGCTGGAAAACCTGGTAGCAGAGCCTTGAAGTTCTATCAGAACGGTCACCTGGTGCAAGTTGGCTGACTCAGACCACCGCTGTATAAAACACTCTATGGTTTTATTTATGTCTCTTTGGACTAACTTTCCTGGGGCTTGAGAGAAAAAAAATATGCCAAGAAGTGTTAAATTGCTCCTGCTTTTCCATTTTTATTATTTTTTTTAAAAAGCTACAAATAAAATATACTTTCAAAGACTTTTTAAAAACAATACTATTGAGTTTATTGAGTAGGAAATCATGACCGTTTTTGTGTCCCTCTTATCATCTGCTTCTTTCTGCTTGTGCATTCTTTTCCTCTGTGCTGGAGCGTGGCATCAATCTAGAGGTGAGAGACAGCACCATAGGAATTAACAAAAGGAGCCCAGCAATTCAAGCGAATGTAATTCAGTAATGTCATAAAACTATTTCGGGGCAATAATCAGAACAATATATCCTAGCACGTTAACATTTCTCCAGGAAAGAGTTTTATCCATTTGCTGTACTCTGAACCAGTGCAAGCTGTAATCACTGAGTAGGGAGCCTCATTAGGTTTTTTGTGTGTGAGTAATGTGGGGCTGTTTACAATGGCTGCATCCTGTGAAATCCAATAAAGGAAATCCCACAAGGAATGTGGGAGTCATTGCGAAGCACTGCCTCTGCGCTGGGCCCTTGTGCTCCACCACCGTGCAGGCTGCCCTGCTGTACTGCAGGGAGACCCAGAGGTCTGCTTTTGTGCACATCTGGTAATGGTCATTTTCCCTTTTGGAGGTAGTGGAAAGTTATACTCTTACGCTTTACTATTGTTATTTATAATGAACAGTATTACTACTACCTTTTAGGAAGTATAGCTCTAGGACTTCTCCTTCACAAGTTTCTCTGCTCTGTTATTTCATTGATCTATTTTAGCTTTCTGTTTATAGGGAAGCTACCTGCTTGGGGGCCATTCTTGCCATCCGTGGGAAGGCAAGCAAACTGTCTTTTGAGCTTTGGTCACTCGGTAGGATACATTTACGATTTTCCTAGCATCATACATGCACTTTGCTTGCTGTCATCTTTGTTCATCCATAGAGGCAGCTACTACCTCATATTTATGAGTTATGTAGGGGATAAATGTTGTTATTCCCATTTTATAGTTGAAAAATGGAGGCAAAGGGAAGGTCCACTATCAATGCTGGAGATAGAACTGCCGATTTCAGACTGCGAAGACAGGCTTTTAGGGAGAATCTAAGGCAATATCTAGAACGGGTTGGAATAAAATACTTGAGCGTTTTCCCATAAAGAATAATAAAAGACCCTGATTGGTTTGTCCTTTCCTGACCTTGATTTTCACATCCAAGGAAAACAGTTATTCAGGGAGTCTAGCCCTCTAAAACATTAGAATGTTTAACCACTTTAGTTTCACTGTAAGTTAATATATACTTTATGTTATAAATAATTATTTGCCCAAAAATGTAGTTTGTACTTTGTCAAAACCATAAAACATCCTATTTAGAGGGCTTGGGGTGGAGGTCCTGCTAGTTCAATTCTGTCTTTTTTAACAATCTGATTGCTAGCTGCTGTTTACATAAGTAATGTGGTTGGTTATGGTTGGTTTGTGGCCCTCATGAATCCTTTGTGGAAGCTGCAGTTCAGCCACATTTCCCAAAGCTGCTAAATATGAATAATGGGTTATTTGATTCACTGTTGTTTTGAGAGAAGGGAGTAAGGGATGGTCAATGCTGGGTTTATTCTGGAAATAGCTGTGGTACATCAGGAAGGGGGGGCACGTCCTTTGTAAAGAGACTGAGTGGTTTAGGAGAGCTGGCTCTTTTTCTGACATTATGCTCTGTTTCTGGCTGTAATTATGTTGTGAATGTGAGTTTCGTCCATTGGTTCCGGACACTGTTCACCTGGCACTTATTTTTGTCGTGGAAAAGGCCACAGGCACACCCCCCCAGGCCTGAGCAGTTATATGGAAAAGCTCACAAGAGTAGAAGTGCCTCGTGAAGATTCCAGAGATGACGAGGCGCGGATAGAAATCCTAAGGATGAGTTATTTCTGGTTATGAGTGAATCAAAAGAACTCAGTCATGTAAATTAATTTTTTACCCCAAGCTGTCAACATCAGCCGTGCCCATCCAGCCATACAAATGTGATGTTTACTCTAATTTGTTAATAAAGGAAAAAGCTTCTGGTTAAAAATAACATCTGTCCATTGACAAAAAACAGCTTGGGTCAGGAAAGCAGTTTTCAGTACGCTGTAAAAGCTGAGTTTGGCGAGATGTACTGCTATCATAAAAGTGGTGACAGCTTTCCCTTCCTTGAGGTTTAAAGGGAGAGAACAGGTTTCAAGCAGAAGGAACTTTAACTTGATGAGTTGTTCTGTCTTCCCAAATCTTTTACACTCACTTCAACAATACAGCCCAAGTCAGAGATTTCTTAAGGGTCTTCATTACTACAGGTGAAGTTCTCGACCTGAGGTGACGTTTCCTGCTACTGACAGGTGGCCAGATGTTCTCTCTTATTCTCTCTTTCATTTTAAGGAGATGGATGTACTGAATGGTTCCTGACCGGAGTAATGCAAAAATTTTGACTGATATGTGACATGTCATTTCTATTTGGCACTTGATGGCTTTTCATCAAAGAAGAAAATTACTCATATAGGTATATACAGACACATAATTATCTATATATAAATTAAATTACCCAAGAAAGAGGGATTATAGTTTTGCATTTAATTCAATGAAGTTACTGAAATATTACAATTCTCATATGTTGGGTTTTGCTATGATACATGTTATATTCACCATTGGTCTGCTACTTCAACTCATTCTTTGGAACTGTTTAGCAGAAACCAGAGTAAATAATTATAAGAAACCCGAAACACTAATTTAAAAGAACATTTGCATGCTTATATTCATTGCAGTATTGTTTACAACAGCCAAGCTCTGGAAACAGCCCAAGTGCCCATCAGTAGATGAGTGGATAAAAGAAGCTGGGGTGCATTGACACAGTCGAACGCTACTCAGCCCTAAATAAAGAAGAAAACCTTACCTTTTGCGACAGCTTGGGTGGGCTGGGGAGTATCGTGCTAAGTGAAATAAGCCAATCGGAGAAAGATACCATGTGATTTCACTGACATGTGAAATCTAATGAACAAAACAAACAAAATAGAAACAGACTCACAGATACAGAGAAACAGACTGACAGCTGTCAGAAGAGAGGTGGGTTGGGGTCTGGGTGAAAAGGGTGAAGGGATTAAAGAAACCTCACAGACATAGACAACACCATGATGATTACAGGAGGGAAAGGAGGTTCTGGGGAGGTAGAAGTGGGTAAAGGGGGAATAAATGGGGTTGGAAGGACAGTTCATTTTAGATGGTGGTACACAATACAGTATACAGATGGTGTATTATAAAAAATGGACACTTGAAACCTATATAATTTTATTAACCAATGTTAACCTAATAAATTCAATAATTTTTTTTAAAAAGGCAAATGTATGCCCTCATCTCATAGGATTTAACTTAGAGGCTCCATTATTCCATGAGCTCTTGGAGTAGTGACCCATTGTCTGACAGAATTTGTATTTGAGGACTGTTAATGACTGAGAGTGTTTTACTCACTGTTTAACAAGAGAGAATTTTGGCTTTGCTGCCATGTAGTAAACCTGAACGTTAACTCATGTGTCAGTTGATAGATGTGTAAGTCCGTAGATAGATGAGTGTTCGCTGACTACAATCACAATGGGGGTGCCAGGGAGAAGCAAGAAGTAGCACAGAGTTGTTCTGTAAAGGTTTTAGATATTATACATGTATATGACTAAAAAACTAATATTTAGATACATCGAAATAATAAAAAATGGAAGGCAGAGGAACATCATTATTTAAAAATGTATCAAGTAAAAGTCCCGATGTCCATTTTCGCTTGCTGCACTGCACCCATCCCCTGTGTCTGCAGTCACGGCCTTGCTGTCCTTCCCGACAGCTGGCCATCAGTAGTAGACAGGCTGGTAGGGCAGACAAATGTGACCAGTATTATAGGTTTTCTTAATTTGTATTTTGCCTTGGTGGTTAAATATTTTTTGCATGTGTTGCACTCAAATCAGTGGTCAATTCCTTTAAAAATACATTTTACTCTTATAAAGGAACACTCTATAATAATACATATAGTGGTATATAATTTAGGTCCAGCTTCAAAGGAAAAAAAAGTTTTAGTATCAGTTAAACTTCAGGGTTAGAGGACCTAAAATCAAATTCCAATAATGACTTCCTTTAACCTTGAACAGACTCTTGTGTCTGCTGACTGCTTTTGCTGTTTCATCCACTCTGGTGACTCTCAGAAGTGAGCCTGCTGCCTCACTCCAGAACTGGCTTCTAAGCAAATAAGAGCTGAGCGGCTTTATGGTTTTTCTGAGATAAAATTGGAGTGTCCCTACTTTCAGATAGCTTCTTACATTCTCAATTTCTGTTTTTTCTTCTTTGGATTGAATTTTATAATGAAAAAAAAAGGAATTATCTATTCAAGGGCATTTTGGAATAGATGCTAATACATTGAAGAGTACTTGCTGTCATCTCTTTTTTATTTAAAGTAAGGTATATAAATAAGTGAAAAATAAAATTTTACTAAGCTAAGTCCTAAGCCATTCCTGGACCCATAACATTTTACTTAAGGTTTCTTGCCCCCAGCTAGGTACCCACAGCATCCTTCCCCAGGATGACCTAAGGAGTCACTGTTGGATGGCCTTGCTCTGTTGAATCACAGCCCTAGCATGTAGGTGGGGCGGGTAACATCAGGCAGAGCCATGTGCTGAAAAGAGCAAGAGGTAGGAAGACCTGTCTACTCTGTCTCATTTACCAGGCACAGTCTTTGGGCTCATCCATGAACCTCCTTGAGCTTTGGTTTCTTCACCGAAAAACAGGAATAGCATCCTTGCCCTTATTGCTTAAGGGTTGTGTGGAGTTTAAACGAAGCGATGAATGTGAAATGCTTTGCGAGCTTTAAAAAGCTATGCAAATATATGATGTGATTTTTGTTGTTGTTCTCCTTATCTCTGTGTTAGGTAAGACATGATCGTAAGCAAGGCAGGGATTTATCCAGTGTTGCCTTTAGTGTATTTTTCCTTATTCATTTACAAATTAGGCTTTTTTCTCCCTGGCGGGGACGTGCACCTTTAGTCCTGTCATCAGTGAGGGACTTCTTCCACCATGGTAAGAGGTGAACCTGAATGGGGATAAATGTGTTTTTGCAAGTTTCAGGACCTCCTGACTGCAAAGCAGTGCTTGAGCATTGTCAAGAAAACAAGTTTGGGGGAAAATGAAGATAACCCCCCAACACAAAAAAGGCCCTTAAATGTGTATGATGCTTTATTTTGAATTTTTTCCTGTCCCTCTTACTTTGGCTGTCAGCATGTGGCTTACTTATAGAGGACTTGGTTTTTGCTGACCCTCAGACATTTCTGAGTAGAAACATTTCTTAAAAGTCTAGAGAAGATCATATGTCATTACCCACATTGGGTAAGGAAAAGTCAGAGAAGTCTGGAGATGTACTAGGTGTTTCTCGTTACTGTGTATAATGCTTTTTTTACCCCCTAAAGATTCTGCAATTCAGTAGAAATGGAGAAAAGAAAGTTTAGAAAAGAAAAATTGAATGAACCTTTCCTTCTCAGTGAAGAAGCTTTTCAGGTTTTCATGCTAAATTCTGTGGTGCCCTCCAATAAACTAAACAAGGGGTTAGGTTTCACTGTAGTTGAAAGAGTATTTGTTATACTATCAAGGACGTTACATTTGTTTGAAGATGAATTCTAGGACTAACGTTTTTATGAACTAGGGTAAATGTGTCTCAGTTTTATGTATTTTGAGTTTGATGAAATGTGTGTTATAGCCTTTCCTTCTTTCCTCTCTCTCCCATTAGGTTCTTATTCATTCTCCTAGGTCCTAAGGGGAAAGCCAAGTCCTATCACGAGATTGGCAGAGCCATCGCTACCTTGATGTCTGACGAGGTAGGGAATCTGGAAGATGGTGACCTCTGAGGGTCTAACTTGTGTGCTTTCATACTGTGCTTTGGCTGTCATCATAAGATAACGCAGTGACTTGAACTGTTAAAATAATATTTAACATACATCAGGTTTAAGAATGAAAAATGTTTAGAAAATAAAGGAAAACCTGTTTTATTCCAACATAAAACTTACTTTTGGAAGCTATAGATGTCAGCTTATTTGCCACGAATGACTGTATCTCACTGTAAAGAAGGCTGGCAACCACATCATTCAAATTGAATGATATGCATTCAGGAAGCACCTTCTCTGGGTATTTCTTAGAAAACATGAAGCATTTGCTGTCTCAAATGGTTCGGTTGTTCCTTGATAACTAGATAAACAGAGAGGCTCTGTCTGTGTTGCCAAATGCACACCATCGTCTTGTCGGTTGTTCCATTCTTCTCACCTGGTTGATGGGCTGAAAGTCCCCTACAAGGATCTCAGCCTTCCGTGGCTGCACAGAGGGTCACCTCCTTAAAGCCCTTTGCTTTCTGTATTGCCAGTATACCTCTGATTTTTCTTTCGTAATAGCTAATATTACTTGTGTGTTTGAGAGCTGCAGTGTTTGGGACTTGACCCAGTCTTAACACTCAGCTTGAACTTTTGTTTCTTGAATTATTGGCAACGGCTTGTCCTGGTAGTTTTTATTTCAGGGAATGACTCTTTAGTATATTTCCCCAAATCATTTTCATCTGGCTTCCGTAGCAACCACATCAATAATGCTACATACCAGTGGGAGGTGAAAGGCAATGTTATTTACGGTATTGTTAGGGAAAAAAACATGAAAAGGAAACAGCCATTTGTTTTCTTATGCCTCTCCATATACCCTTTGGATTTATTACCAAAATATTTTGGTAATATTATTTTACCAAATAATAACAGGATAATAGGAAATACGAGTATAGTTATATAATATTAAAGTGGGTAATGGATTGCGTTCTTTAGGCTGGATATGTGAGGCGTGTGGAGACGTACCATGTTGGGTTAGCACCTCTCTTATGTCTCCTTAGGTGTTCCATGACATTGCTTATAAAGCGAAAGACAGGCAGGACCTGATTGCTGGCATCGATGAGTTCCTAGATGAAGTCATTGTCCTTCCTCCTGGGGAATGGGATCCGGCGATCAGGATAGAGCCTCCTAAGAGTCTTCCATCATCTGACAAAAGGTAAATCATCAGGCAGTTGGGGATGTGAAACCTTGAGAAAGAGGTTGTTTGCAAAGGAAATGGAGTCAGGCAATTGCCCTAATATTTTTCGGTTCCCATTTAACTTGATGTATTATCTCATCTCAAAAGAATCACATACATTTCATTAACACTTTAAAAATGAATGCTTGGTGATTACAGATTGGAGCTCTCTGAGATTCTTCAGAGATATTCTGGGGACTCCCTATGCGTGTGGAAAAAATCATTTTACTCAAGATGAGGCCCTATAGATTGAAGAGGTTGAGAAACTGAGTGAATGAGGGTGGAGGGATTGAGCAAAAAGGAAAAAGGACTCATGGTCATGGACAGCAGTGTGGCGACTGCAGGGTGGAGAGGGTAAATGGTAATGGGAAAAATACAACTGAAAATAAAGGGAAATACAAGGAAAAAATCCAAAATCAAAAAAAAACAAAAGAAATTCAGTGAAATAATTGCGGAGAGGGCATTTTCTGGAAATCTGTTATTTTTCAGGTGAAATGGGTTGCCGCTTGTAGGATATACAATTTGTTCAGCTTTTCTGTTCCTCCAGTCATTTGTCTTGGCTCCAAATATAACACTCTTAGAATTGTCTGTTAGGACAGCAAAAGGAAATAATGACATTTCTCCCAGAGGATTTTCAGCTCATCTCTTCATTAGCTGGTGCATGACACAGCTGAGAGGCAGGTAAGCACAATAAGCTAACATTCTCTTGGGCTCTGTTGTCTTAGAAAGAACATGTACTCGGGTGGAGAGAATGTGCAGATGAATGGGGACACCCCCCATGACGGAGGCCACGGAGGAGGAGGACACGGGGACAGTGAAGAACTGCAGAGAACTGGACGGTAACTAATGGATTCTTTTGCCACTCACAGTGAGGTTCTCCTTAGATCTAAATTTCCCTTAATCTTTCTATTAGCATTTTATTCACTGGATTACACTACTGTTCAGCCAACAGATATTTCTAGTGTGCCTAATACAGCCCCTGAGGGCGCAGCAGTGAACGGAACCAAAATCCCTGTCCTTGTGGGTCTTACTTTGTAGTGGTGGAGACACACAGTGAGCACAAAGAGGAATGTGGTGATAGTTTTATGAGGAAAAACAAAAGAGAAGTAGGGAGTTTGTGATGGGAGAACGATTTTTTAGATAGGGTGGCTGGGGGCAGCCTGAAAGACAATCGCAGCATTTAAGGAAAGTCCCGGAGGAGGTGGGAGTTAGACAATGTAGAAGTGGGGTTGGGAGAAGGGGCAGCGGGGGACCTGGTGTGTGCTGGGTTGGCGTGGTGGCCAGTGTGCCTGGAGTGGAGTGAGTGAGCAAGGAGGTATTAGAAAGAAAAACAGAGAGACAGTGGGTGTGTGTATATGGCAGAGAGAATGAACAGTGAACCAGTCTTCATTGGTTCTGTCTCTGCCCTGTACACTTACTCAGAAGTGGGCGATACATTATAGAGCTGAGGAACTCACAGGTCATGGTTTCGCCAGCCTGCAGATGGGAAGTCGGGTTTCCCAGACTGCTTTGGCTAAATCTCTGTTCATGACAGTTCTTCCTCCTGTACTGCTGGGTTCTCCGTTTCATTTTGGGTTAAGTAAAATTTCAAGTAGGATACTCATTTTAGAAAGATATATATTTTTTAAAAACAGTGCAGACTGAGATTTCATTCTTCCATATTTCACCTTTCCTAAGCGCACTGAGTATCTGCAGTTTGCCTCACCCTGTGTGGATCAAGTAAACTGAACAGTACACTGACTGCTGCTGAGAGCTGCTGAGCACCCAGTTAGAGAGGCAGTGCTCAAACCGTGTGATAGCCCATAGCCAAAGTCCGAGCTGTGACCGGAGGGTCAAGACTTCAGAGACCCATTGACTTGAGAGGGAGAACACTGTAGCCAGAAGGAAGAGCAGGGAGAAGGCCAAGATGTGGGGTTTGGCCGGGAGGGTGCATTGGCGGATGGATAGGTCATTTGACCTGCTAACATTTGCAGTGGGGCTTGGCTTGCAATGTTCATCTACCACATACCTGCATGGCTTTCTCTCTTGGTTACTCCAGGTTCTTACCCCAGAGTCACCTGGTCAGGAGGCCTGTTCTGACCACTATCACATGTCAACCATTGCTGCACTAGCACTTAATAATCCTCTTCCCTACTTCATATTTTCCTTGATTTTTAGCACCATGCATTTTTCTTATTTTGTGTGCTCCACATAGAAAGTAAACTTCCTGAGTGTGGCTGTTTTTTTTTCTCTATCATTCAGTGTTGTATCTCCACAACCCAGATTAGTTCTGGGCATATCACAGATGCTCGAAAAACATTTGTGGACTGATTAGTGAATGAATGAATGAATCAATCAATGAGTGAATGAATGAAGGAGGCTGGGGAGGAAGCTATGGCAATATTATAAAGGTCCTTGTATGATCTGCTCACATGTTTAGATGTTTTTCTTCATGAGGCGAGAAATTTTAACTTGTCTAGACAATTCACTCTCATCTAAAGGCCCACCATCTGATCTTTAGGGTATGCGACTCCTAATTTGATGATTGAAAAAGAAATAGAGAGAAGAAAATTTATTCCTCCACAATTTTCTGGTTTTATCTTAAGTGGTTGAATAGTACCTTGTTCATTCAAGCACTGTAAGTTCCAATTCTTTGTGGTTTAATAAGTGATCTCTTGGTTGATCGAATGGTAATTTATTTTACATTGTCACATGTTTGCTGTCTCCCTACCTAGGTTCTGCGGTGGACTGATTAAGGACATAAAAAGGAAAGCGCCATTTTTTGCCAGTGATTTTTATGATGCTTTAAACATCCAGGCGCTGTCAGCAATTCTCTTCATTTATCTGGCAACTGTAACTAACGCTATCACCTTTGGAGGACTGCTTGGGGATGCGACCGACAACATGCAGGTGGGCCTGGTTTGGGGGGACACAAGTAGGACACCCCGGACTCCCTCCCCATCCCCACAGCGCGGCTCGGTGAGGAGCAGATGGCCTTTCCGTTACTCAGCGTGATTTTTCTTCTTTTTTTTTCCTGGATGCTGCATTTTACTTTGCTTCTGGCCTGCTGCTGTATTTCCAACATTTTAGTAGTTATAAAAATAGCTCGATGAAATCTGGCTTGAGTCACAGTGGAGAAAAGAAGGAAAGGAAATGAGGTTGTACAGTTCTATTTGGGCAGAAGCATATTAGCTGCTTTAATTTTGTGTGGGACACAAGGTTGAGATCTTCTACTACCCGGGGTGTATGGATGAAACCGTTAAACCCGATGACCACACTCTCTGGGAATGCACAGTCACCGTCCTCTTACACAGGCTTTATTCACACATGGATTTGCTTAGCCGTCAGTAGAATTCAGCTTTGAGAAATATGAGATAAGAGTTCTTTCTCCTAGTCCTGAATCTGCTTCTCATTAAGCTGTGCAAACTCTGGATTGATTTATTTTGTGTGAACCACACTTTATTGGTTACTTTGCAGGTGGCATTAGCCTTCCTTTTGTATCAGTAACACCTCCTGTTTTAGGGAGAGAAAAGACATGTCACATTCCCTCAGTCAATCACAAAAATATGTATTAAACTACTTTTAGTTGATCCAGTCATTGAGAAAACAATAGGCTTTGCACTGGGTACTGAACACAGAGGAGGGTGAGACACGTAAACAGAGAACCAGCTTCAATCCCTTTTCAAACTCTGTCCTTCTCTTACTACTTGCTGCTGTTTCACCTGTGTGACATTCCTCAGTGCTGCCAGCCAGGTTCATTTAAAAAAAAAGGTGGGGGAACAGTTGATTCTAAATGATTGCTTTTCTTCCACTTCTTTTTTCTTCCCTGGGCACATTTATGTTTTAGATTTCTGCCTAAACACAAAAAGTCTGATGGAGACCATCTATATTGCTCCAAGTAAAAAGGTAGAAACTATTTAAAATAATTATATTTAGTTCCTTAACACAATGATTAATTTTTGTGTTTTAGTTCTTGTCCATCACTGCATTGCGTTATTATCCCAAAACTTAGAGGCTCAAAACAACCCTTTTTTCTCTCACAGTTCCCGTGGTTGGTGGACTTGACTGGGTTGGTCCTCTCTTGGGTCCTCACACGTTTGTGAGACTCAGTGGAGGTTGGAGTCGCCTGAAGGTGACTTGTCACATGCCTGGTGCCCAGGCTGGGACATGTGCGGGAGCTGGGGACCCAGGCCCCTCCACGGGACTTTTCCACGTGGCTCACTCGGGCTCTCTCTCAGCTGGGGACTGTGAGGACTCCTGAGAGCCCATGTTCTATCAGAAGGAGACAGTCGCCACTCGGCTTGTTTCCACAGGAATGTGTACTCAGCATTACTTCATTTTCTGATATTCAAAGAGAGATTGAAATCTGGTCATTTAAAAATATTGGCAAGTGATGAACATTTTAGAAATAGCACTGTGCTGGCCAGGGAGCACATGTCTGTGTGTGTTCCCAGTGACAGACCTGCAGCCTGGGGAGCAGAAACCCAGTGTGCAGGACACAGAGGGCCATGTATGAAGAAGGTGGCCCCCAGCCGTTTCTTTCATAAGGTAGAAACATTAAAGTACAACAGTGATATCAGTAATCAAACTTTTATGGAATCTGATTGTATGCAAGTGGAGTAGCTAAGTCTTCATCAAATGGAAGCATAACAATGACTACAACAGACACTTGGAGAAAACGGGTAGAAGTGCCGGGCAGGCCAGCATGCAGCGGGCAATGTAGGCTGCTGTGTGTTAAGAAAATAAGAGAGAGCTGGGGTTTTGAGAGAGTAGCAAGAGCAAAACCATCTCATCTTTTAGAATGTAAAGACTTTTTTGTGCAGCTTTTTAAAAAGTTTTATTTTTCAGTTGCAGTCATAATATTATTTTGTATTAGTTTCAGGTGTACAACAGAATGGTTAGTCAATCACATACTTTGCAAAGTGTTCCCCCTGATATGGCTAGTATCTGCCTGGCCCCCTAAGTAGTTATTACAGTGTTACTGACTGTATTCCTTAGGCTCTGTTTTACATTCCCGGGACCATTTTATGACTGCCAATCTGTAGTTATTAATGACTTCACCTTTTTCAACTAGTCCCCTCTTCCTTCTGGCAGCCATCTGATGTCTGTATCTATGAGTCTGTTCTATTTTGTTTGTTTGTTTACTTTTGTGAAGATATTTTTTCAACACTTTTATTTTCATGGATGTCCTTCTCATTGAGGAGACATTGTGACACTTTCTATGTGGTGTTTATTGCCTGTAAAAATAGCTGAGTGGAACTCCTTAGCTTTGGAACTTTGCCGAGATGAGAAGTCTATTGAAGTCTAGTGCTGACCCCTCCTAGGTGAACCAGTTTCTGTATGAGCGAGTTCTTGGGCAAGTAAAGGACTCTACTGTGCAACATTAACACTGATATTCTTCTCTTTAATGAGAAATTACATAGGGAAGGCCTTGGTGATGGAGTGAGCTGTTTGCTGGGTTCTGAAGACTTTAGGAGAAACAAATGCTTTCCATGGTGGAGATGTTAAGTATCTATGTGTTGATTGCATCTATTTTAAGGTCCAGGGAGTTAGGGACTAGAAATGGTGAAGAATATCTCCACCCTGCACGGTGTACAGTTGAACCCACAGCAGGTCTTATGCGCCGGCAGTGGCAGTCCTCTTGCCTTGGCACCAGGACGACAGAGCATTTTGCGGATTTGGTGCTAAGGCCCAGGTCATTTCATAAGTCTGTGGCAGAGATTGGTTCTTTCCTTTGAAAATATTTAATGTCTACTGTGTGCCAGACACTATTTTAAGTGCTGGGGATGTAGATAAGTGACCAAAATAGATAGGAATCCTATCCCGACAGCTTTTACAGTCTAGGGTGTTGATAGAGCTGTCTTTTTTCTGTACCCCTAAGAGATACTGGCAGTGGGCTCATTTGGGGGGGTGAGGTCCACTGGCTCTATGTGACACAGTAGATCAAGATTGAGCAGAAACATACTGGCATAGCCTGAAATAACCTTCATTTACATCACAAGCCTTCATAAATGTGGCAATGTGTTATTCTCAAAAGCACAAGCAGCTCAACTGAGTCAACTGAGAGCAGTGCCCTCGCCTTTTAAAGGCAAACAAACAGCACAGAGATGGTTCGCACAGGGCCTTTATTGTCAGGCCCCAAATAGACATGGGTGTCGGGTAGAAGCGTGTTGTGAAAACATCGATGAGTCACCGCATTGCTGTTGTTTAAGCAAACTCTTCTGCCAGCTTCTGTGCGGGAGGCCGTGCCTACTCAGAGATGGGATTTTACATGTACGCATTTATTGCAGAGCTGAAATATATATTCAGCTCTGAATATATATAATATTCAAATCTGTATTATATATAGTATGTTATATATACATACACAACTCAGCTTTGTACATGTACACATACATGTATACATATAACCACATGCATGTGATAAGGTGTATATATTTAATAATTACAAATAAATTTATATGACATATACTGAACATTCCCAGATATAAATGTGTGTACCCCCCCCACACACACAAACACATTTCATCAGAAGCAGATCTGGGGAGCCACATTTGCCATGGACCGGTACTCAGAATGAACCAGTTGAAGCTATGATGGACTCAAGTATAATCAGTTCTTAATGGCCACATAGATGACTGTACAATTTCCCCACCTTGGCACTGTGACCATGAGAGGACTCTGAGGCTTCCAGAGTGAGTATTCATGGCTTCCCTGTTAAGTGTGGGTCAAATTTAGCTTGGGCTTCTGGGAGTGACTGAACAGCTTCACCAAGAGTTGGTTAGCCTTGCATTTATCTAGGATCCAGCCCTGCCTTGGACCATTTGTGTTCTTAGAATTTAATGAGAGTGCACCTTTCTGAGGTCCAGGAATTGTGCTGCCACTCACTATCTTCTGGTTACTCTCATTATCCTTTCTGGTAAGTCCCACTGCAGTTGCACTCTGGTTGCCTTGCCATACTGCGAAGTGAACAGGGCTCCTCAGTGTCACCATGCTAGAGCATGTCCTCTCCACAGCTAAAGCCTGGGGTCGTGCACATCAGCTCACGGCAGTGGGTTTATATCCTTAGTTGCCAACCAGCTAAACTGTTCTATTCATTGAGATACTTCCAATTAAACTGTTAAATGTCTATTTAATAAGTATTTATGGATAGCTTAGTCCATGCACAAGATCCTAGAAAGTTTTGTTTTTTAATACTTTGTGGCAAGTCTCTCTGTTATTTAAAAGTTGTTCTTAGCTTTAGAAAACCAAGAAAAGTATTTTAACTTAAATCAACATTGTTGATTGTGAATGGCTGGACATAGTTTAGTGAAGATTGAGTGAAGAAAGTCATTTAAATTTTTTCCCAGAAGTAAATATAATCCTATCTTCACAATCTCATAGCAAAAGAATACAGTAAGATTTTTAGAATTCTGTGAATTTTGTGATATTTGTGGAGCTAACAGAGTACATTTTGAGGGAACTTGTCTCATAATAAGGAACATTTATAGCTGGCATCTCCAAATTTGAGGTTTTATTTTAGCATACTGCTGTGCTGAGAATATTTAATCAATCTGCTTAAGTTGGAAATGTATCATTTCTTATTCACATACGATATTCCTTGATAAGATAGACATCTCCTTATGAAACTTATTATGTGAAATTTAAAACAGCAACTTTAAAGCAAATTGATAATTGCTTCAGTACAGTTAGGGCTATGGAGTGATTTCAACTTACCTAAATGTTGCACTGTGGTACCAAGACGCATTGCTTCCTTGAAGTGGAAATGTAAGAGGACATGTCGATCTGCCTGAACTAGTCCATAAACATTGCGTCTTCAGAATGTTAGGTAGGGATAATCTGTGTGTTAGAACAACACGGCTGGGTTGTTTTGGTTAGCAAAAATAAATGGTAAGCAAAGATAAACGTGT